TAATCATAGATTAAACTGATGGTTTTACATACATGCATAGTCATGGTCATAACCATGTCTATATTCATCGAGTTCTCTATACTGAACTGAATAATGTTACTCAGTTCAGAACAGAAAGCGTACTCTTTTTGTTATTAATACCCCAGGGTATCTAGGAGCTCCTTGCAGAAAAGCTTTCGAAACCTCTTACAAGATAACATGATTTTAGTGTAGAAGCCTTCTCGCATCAGAAAAATAATTTATGTACATGAACATTTTACCTGCAGACAAAATTTTGAACGCATGCGTTCAAAATAGAAACTTCGTATTCTCACCTTATTCACATTGAAAAAACTTATCTTAATTGTTCATTATCTACATAATAGCTTTCTTTATCTGACTCGCCCTCTAAGAACGACCATTTGTAAATCTTTATTGACATTCCACCACAAAGGGAACGTATTTTACGTCCTGCCATAGAAACACTGATTTACCTTATCAACCAGTTTTTATCTCTTTACATACTGTATAATATGTAAAATGTCTATTATCTTTCCGCCATGCACATTTTTTTCGCATATCTACACATATGACTCAAAACACGGAAATGTATACCACGTTCTTGTATAATGACCTTCAAGTCAAACACTCTTTGCGCTACATCGACCGATGATCCATTCAAACAACGGTATCTCGCAATCGGCCCCTCTGTAAACAAACAAGTTTTATAACTACCACACCCTCCTCCGATCATTAATCCTGCTTTATTTGCACAAATTATCACTGTAACTTTACCCACTCGACCGTGCGCAATCTGCACGCTTCTCGATGTAAACCGAGAAATAAACTATTAATATTCCTTGATTCGTCGCGTGAGACGGTCCAAACAACGTCCACCCGAACACGGTGCGAGCAGCATATGGTTCTGTCCTGCTGCCCAGTCTCTGGTCCAGGACTCAGTGTGCTTCGGGCACGTTACAACTTATTAGCAAATCGAATTCGGGAGAGTCGGCTTCTCCGAAACACAAGTATCGTAGTGCGTTGCTAATTCCCCGATCGATTCGACCGCTCGCATCGGCAAGTCGGCGATGGTGAAGGCTTCCGCCACCTGTACTCGTTCTCCATTGTCTAGCGAAACCAACGTCACGTTTGCTTGATCGGCGGACGTCATCTTGGTGCCGTTCACCGTGCTGATCGTCAGGGAAAATGGTCGGGTTGTGATATTGTGGTTTACGGCAAAGTGTTTGGTGATCAACGTGGTATCGGAACCGTTGTCGATGGACGTCATCGCCTGCAATACCCTCCTGGGTGTTAATATACCCACTGGTGTTACCCCGAGGCGTACCCGCTTGTCCGCTGATTGAGACAGTAAAAATAGACTGGGGTTTTTGGGTGCCGATAACTGGATTTCCCTTACAGAATGCAAGAAAGTACGATGGCTTTCTTTACACCTTGTTTCCTTGCATCTGCTAGGGTTCCTACAAGCGGCCGCACGATGTGAGTCGTTCAAACAGATAAAGCATGCACCATGTCTCTTGGCTGCTTCCCAACGGTCCGGAACTGCCAGTTACTCAAAATTCTCGCACGCAGGACGTAGTAATAGAAATCAGATGAGGAACCGGAAGTCGAAGTATGCTAATTGGACTTCCAGAAAGCAATCGAGTCAGTTAACCATAAATTGTTAGATTTCAAGCTCCGGGAAACTGAGCTTAATCCGAAAGTTTGTAATTGGGTTAAAGCGCTTTGGTTCGGGCGGACCTACAGGGTTCGTGTGCGGGGATGTCTGTCGGAGGTGGGTT